AACAAACCCCACAGAAGAGACACTGACGAACACGAGGCATATCTGGATTATTATCAATGGATTCTTGGCGATTCCTTCACCAAACCAACCAAAGAAGCTTTCAAAAAGACGCAAATACCAGCTGCAGAGCTTAGACCATAGTACACATGGATTGAATGATCGTGGAGAACAGCAGCTGCATAAATAACAATGGTAATATTGATAATAATTATGATACTATAATTATAATATGGATAGTAATACTAATAATAAGAACAATGATATTCATTATGACATAATGACATGGCTATTATACAAGTTTTGTCGGCTGTTCGTCATCGTCATCATCATCAACACCATCAGTGCTACTCTCATTTTACTGTAATCATTATCATTGCATATTCAACGCTCTGTCTTGTTCCTTATTGGTCAATGACAAATCTGTGAACAGGTTATAGAGGGTGATGTCCAATTTCCACTTCGCACTACCTTGAAATTTAAGCTTTTAACATTTCTCCCCTCAATTTTGTTCAGGTTAAAGGTTGCCTCAAAATCAATGGCTTAATGTAAAACAGTTAACGGTTGCCCTCTTTCACAACGGTCTTGGAATGGCCAGAGAAAAATCAAGCCATAGACACATGACTGGTAATTGATTTTTATGCCTGAATGGAGTTGTATGATGGCCTACTTGGGGTATTTATGAAAAAATGTATGAACCCAAAAAGATGTTCTTCTTTGATAGTTTGATGGTTCTTTGATAGTTTCAAAGACAATTAAAGGTTGTATTGGGTTGTGAAGGCGACTCACAACTCTGACTGCAAAACGAAAGAAACATGTACAATCTCTCCAAAAATTATGAAATTTTCTTTCCGACTCAACGCCTTGACTTGCCATTTTGACCACTCGCTTTTAGCTTTCTGTCATTCGTTTCTTGTTCCTTGTTATAGTAATATGCTTACGCAATCAGAAATAAATCGCTGACTCATGAATTATTAAGCTTCAGATAATTTGGAGCAAAGAAGGTTGGTATCCAGTCACGTAGGAATTGCACCAGTAGTGGAGAGAAATGAAAACAAGCGCTTGCTTCGCTGTTGTCTCAAATTGTTTTTTGACTAGTTGGCAAACGGCTATTGACTGTAATCGTGAAAAACAGGAAACTGAGCAGCAGAAAGGAATACTCAGTTCCGGTATCCTTGCAAAAACAAATTTACCTTCATTTGAATTTGCTACTGACAACAAGCTTTATTATTTTGAATTTGAGTCAGTCTCCTGATCAACAGAATACGGAGTTCACTTTCGATAAGAAATATCAAAACTTAGCCCTTGCGGTTAACGGCCTTCTGTTTAACGTTTTTCAAACCACGTAGAATTCAGCGAAGTTCTCCTATTATAGTTTCGAGAAAAACTACCAAAAACAGGTACCATGCAAAATTTACAACGCATTGACATGTTTCGTTCCTTTCCTTGCCAAAGCAAAGAGACTAAACGGTTTTCTGTCGTTTTAAGGAACGCAACTTGCTATTTCGCTTCGCTTCAATAGGAAAAATAACTTTTTATATTCATTTTGTTAGTAAAAATAAAAACACAAAACCGCGCCAACCTTGGTTCGCCTTGTGGTTCCACCTTAAGTTCAGGCGGCGTCTCCAAATTGTCCATGACAAGACGCGAGTGACTCTATAGAGAACACTGTTGTGCTTACTTGATTAACCATTCAGTTTGAGAATAAATTCGCATCACAGGTCTCTGTGACTGGCTTTGTGTGGTCTGATATTTGTTTTCCTATGGGCTTCAGCAATAGACGAAGTCTGAAAGATGTAAATTCCGTGAGCTCAGGGTTCAGGCTCTTCGCTAAATTTTGTTGACGCGAAAGCCTGACAAGCGTAAAACATAATCGAATTCGCTTCGCTGTTGAAAATCACGAAGATTTTGGTCCCCATTTCGAGCTTTACCGAAACTCTCACATGGCTTATTTCTGTAACATAGCGCTGAACACAGAGATATATATTCAACGAAACATTAAAATGACCAGAAATTTGTACGCGTAATTCAGATCAGCGATCGCGTCTCAGACGATTGCACAAACAATGGAGCCCAAGTCACGTTTCACATGACAGCAGACAGATTTTGTAAACAGATCACGTATCACGAATACCGCATGATCCAAAAAACGTTTCACGCAAAATATTTAAGGTTGAAATCATTGAAATTCTTGCTCTACGCTATGGAAGAGGTTTTAAGGTCAATTTTCTTTTGAGAAACTGTTGAAATCATAGCCAGAATTGTTGTGTTACATACCAATCGTAATGTTCCCCCTTGATGAGATTCCTCCGTTTCTGTCTGTCTCTATAACACTGATAAATCCAATTGCCAGTTAAAGCAAACAAGCGTTGAAGGAATTACATTTATTTTCTACCGTTACAGCTTCAGTGAGGCACACAGTGTCGGAAGATCACGAGCAAAGCGTGTTTGTGCGGCTGCGTATTCAGAAGAAGCGTGACAGGATGTTCATTTATTTTCGTTTCTTTCACTTTTAGTAACAAGAGTAGCACTAAAAAACATCTTTCTCAAAAACAAACAAAGCAAAACAAATCAGAATTAAAGCATTCCCCTTCGTAATTTTTCAGGACGAAACAAGCGTGATCTGCAGTGGTGAATTTGCCTATATTTCGAAAAGAAAACAGATTTCTGAGACAGAAACGTCTTGATTTAAAAGCTTGGATATACATGTAAGGCGATAAGAAAGCAAAACATTATTCCGTCCATTTAACTCCTCCTAAATTTCACTGTAATACCTAGGAAAAGTGAAACATTGTGAAAATTCCGCACGATGCCATGATTTTATGCCGTAGGGATACGACTGAGTGACGAGTCAAGTAACTTTGGCGCTTTTCAGCTAACAATGGCGGGGATTTTGGAACGAAAGCGCTGCAATTTCCAGAAATGTAATAAGTTAATACATACGTACGTTAGCTGCTCCGGGGATTGGAGACGTCATGGAGGGTATTTTGTGGGCGATTTTCATGTAAAACTGAAACTGCGAAAGGCTAAACCACTTGTACGATTTTCTCGTGTAAATAGCGTGACATGCTGGCGGCACGAGAAAGCGAAGCCGGTTTAGATGATCACGCAATGATTAGCTAGGAATTTGAAATCTGATTAAGTGGTCATACACTTATCGAAATGGTCTCGAAGAGAGCTTAAAGCTGTATGAGATCTAAAAGAAAACAGTACAAAATCAGAATACGTCTAGATCTTTTTGACAAAAATTAAACCTGAAATCGTTTTTGTTTGGCGCAATTTCAAGTTATAGCCAGTGAAATAGATACCACCAGTGTGGCTGTCTGTCAACATTTAGATCTCATTACGACCAACACTTTTAGAATTAGCAACAGAACCCACTTTCATGGTATCGCCCTTCTCAGTTAACATTACTCCTAACGTTTTCGTTTTGTTCAACCCCTCGAGACATTTTAAAGTGTTCCTCCCCTGAACATAATCCTGACATAGATTTCTGCCGGTTTCCCCTTTTTTGCATAATAATTGCTTTGACTCAAAATCATCGGACACCATGCTACTTGCCCCAGTCTGCTGTTGGGCTCAATTTTGGTGTTTTGGCTATCCCTTGTGGAAATTTTCGGGCACGGGAAACCCCCAAACGAGCGGCACTCGTGGGTGCGTGGGTTGTAAACAACAATGGCCGTCAGAAATGAAAATAGGTCGACGGGCCAAAATACGTGTGCCTATTTGCTGAATGATGGGAAAAGCTTAAGCTTCGCCGACAGTATAATTTCGTCAAGAAAACAATTGGAAAAAGCGAAGTATTGACAACTGAATACAATGATATAACTAAAAAAAAAATGGATTTGTTACATTTCCCTCCTTTCATTTTAATCGTCGTTTTCGGGTCAATGTCAGCTTATCGCTTTTAGACCCTGTTACTCGTTTGTAGTTTCTCATTATTAGGATTTGAAGTCAGAGGTCAAGCACATAGCTGATTTGTGATTCGTGAATCAATATGCGGTTCATCGTTGGACGCTTTCTTCCTCTTCCGAAAGCTCTGACGAATTGTAGAACGCACATAACAGGAATCGCTTAAACCGTTCTTTTTTTATATTTCCACTTTCGCTGCTATATTTCCTTTAGAATGGCCAGACATGCTTATGAATTGACGAAAACGCTGAGCTTTTGGGTTTTTTGAGTATTGTGGTGGTAAAACTCGAACTAAGAAAGCACATGACTAACAGCACTTCCGCATTTATATTATTGTATTTTGAATGTGCCTACTGCTCGTCTAGGGCAGGAACTGTGACCAAATGTTTGCCACTAGGAGTAAGGTTAACTTTTCCTAATATTTTATCAGAAATAATATATACACAAACCCACACCAATCTTGGTTCAACTGAGTCCTACTTTTGGTCGAGCGGCTTTTTCGTACTGGCCGTGACGAGACTGGTTAGTCAGCGGAAAAGAAATAGTTCAGTTTTGGAAGAAATCACGTGGCGGGTTATCTATTCATACCGCTTACCTCGCAAAATTTGTATGTGGTCATGTTATGGATGAAAGTTTTTTTCAAGTGCGCTTCAGCACTCAAAGACAAAGTTTGAAACATGCAAATTTTCGAATTCAGTGACGTGACCGCCATCAGCGGCGAGAGCACGAGAGGAGCATGGAGTATTGTCACGCGTAAAATTTATCTTTGGAGCTCACATTCGCAAAGATTTCGGTTTCTAGCCCTTGTGGTATTCGAATCGTTACTTTCGTAGACCTACAAAACCGAAACACCGCGCCAAACACGAAGAAATAATTTATTTGAGACACACTAATAACCGGCTGTTTATTCATGCACATTTATATTACCCGTCAGGTCTACCGGCAGTGAAAACTTTGCGGTCGCGATTCACAATCAGTTAGTAACTGAGCGTGAATAATGTCGTCTCACCTTCCGGCACATCAAGAATTACGAGGCACGAATCACAAGTCTTGCGATTGAAAGCCCCAACCTGGATTTGAACGATAAATGGTAAATTTATTTTTAAGAAGTGTTTAATTCAAGATCTAAGATGAAGAAAGAGATAAAAAATATTCCTTAATTGTTTCGACTACGACAGATGTAGTATAAAATGATTTCACAAATAATCGCAATATTCCTCCCCAGACGAGGTTCAGTGGTTCTGGTCTTCCATTATGTCAGAGAGTCTTGTACTCATGACAAACAACTGTTAAAGGAAGTTCATTTATTTTTAACCGTTGCAGGCTTATATTGTACTGAAGAGCACGTGCTATATCACAATGAGTGTGACGGGAAATTTGATCTATATTATATATAGTTTCTTTCAGCTTTAGTAACGAAAATTGTGCTACAGGAACACATAGCTAAAAACGGAAAACATCATCAACGAGATCAACGTATGCTCCACTAAGGGGGGAGCAACCTTTCAGTGGCAGACTATTTTTGATGTAATATGTCAAAACCGAGTGCGAGTGTTTCATCAGGGGTTCCAAACACCGAGAAACAGATGAAAGCACGAGGTCGCAGGCCGAGTGCTTTCACCTGTCTCTCGGTAAGGGCTTACGGTAATTTGCGAAACGAAACGAAACATTTCGTGTTTCGAGCACAGGCTTACCATCTTAAAGATCTGCGGTTTCGGGTTTCTATGGTTTTGGGTTCCTATGGCATTTACATAGCCGTTATCAATGTCGGTTCAAATATATTGCCTCTAGAATCTGTCCCTAGTAGTCAGTCTTCAAAAAAAATCAGCTCCGAATAAAGATTAATAGTTCATTACTTCTTTGGAAGTGTTTTTTCCTGCCAGAAAGCCTCAAAATCACTCGTTTGGAGCTTTCAAAGTTCGGCTCGCTCTCCCTAGTTAAGAAATGCGACAATGCAGGCAGCTTAGGCCTCCAGATCCCAGACCACCTCGTATTCGAGACAAAATTTTTTTTACCTTCTAGGTCTTATTTTCCCACCGAAATTCAACAGGCCACAGAAGGATTATCCAGCTGTTACGGTGACTCGGTGTTGAATCATTCTATTCGACGGTTTACGAGAAAATGGAACGCAAAGTCGTAGATTTGGAGCTGGAGCTCTTCTAGGGATCCGGGCATGAGGGGTACTCAAAGGAATTCCAAACATGCGTTTCGGTTATGGTAGTCTGGAAAACCATGAATCCGGAATTCCGCCGGAATTTTTCAATGTCTGTTTTTTTAATTCAAAACGACTCCGATGATTTTCCGAAGAGCGTACGAGCTCCGAATATACTCCGATGATTAACACGAAGACTATTCGATGGTTTCCGAAGTTACCCAGAGAGCCCTAAATTTTTGAAGGCTTGTTTTTTCAATTCTTCTTTTTTCTTTTTTCAAGATTTTTCCGAAGAGTGTACGAGCTCCGAATATATACTCCGAGGATTAACCGAAAACTCTCCGAGGGTCTCCGAAGTTACCTGGAGATCCTCGAGGAACAATCGAACCCCCGGCTTCACTTGTTTTTTATCGATTTTTTGTATTTAATCTTTTGTTTACTTTTTAATTATTAACTTATCTATTTTTTAACAGCCGTGAAACTAAATAATGAACAGCAAATGATTCGTCAAATTATAGGTTAACACGGTCAGCGTCCTTTTAATCGAGATCTCGATTATTCATTAAAAGGGTAGAAAGAAAATATGGCAATACCTTAGTCAGTCTGCCATTTATTCAATTACAATTCCGGGAAAGCACTGCTTAACGAAAGCGATAAGCTCTTCCGTTAGAGACAGGCCTCCCTCATTCCTCCTCAACAGACCTTGCAGGTTTTCCAGCTTACCTTTCCGAAAAGCGTACAAGCTCCGAATATACTCGAAGATTAACCAAAGATTATCTGAAGGTTTTCGAGGTTACCCGAAGATCCCTGAATTTTTCAAGGCCTGTTTTAAAACAACTCCGAAGATTTAAAACAACTCCGAAGATTTTCCGAGTGGTGTACGAGCTGTGCATATACTCTGGAGTTACTCGAGGATCCGGCCTGAAGAACAATCGAACCCCCATGAACATGGTTGAACACCTATGAGGAATTAAGAAAACGCTGAAGAATCTATTTTTATGCCAGTTACACGGAATTTTTGACGGTGAATTTTGTCTTAGCCAAGGGAAAAGTGCATGGATATTGGGTAAATTCAAATCAATTTGTTTCTGGTTGGACAGTTAACCACACCGATATCCCACTCCTTTTTCCTCGTCCGAAGAACAAAGAATGATCAAAAACGCAGGCTTTGTGAAGACTTGGCATGCAGTAAAATACGTTAGTGACGCCATTGTCTTTTTTTGAGTTAAACTTGAATTAATAACTTGAATTTTGAATAAAAATATCAGATCTACAGCCACAGCATCAGACTTTTTCCCTGACCAGCAAGGTGTCTCACGTGGCCACAGCAATGAGAGGGGGAAGGGGGCTGGTCAAAATCATCCTTTTGGATACCCAGGGCCGTTGCCACAGTCATTTACGACATCTATGTTTAGCCAAAGGCTGTCGCCGGCGATGTCTTCTACGCAGCAGCATTCGTTTAGCGGTATGCGTCCACTCCAACCATCCGTGCCCCAAGGTTTTCCTTTACCGCCAAAACCCATCATTCCTGAATCTTCTAATCCTTTCTTTTAAATGAAGCTAAAAGGAAACATCTCAAAATGTAACGGATATAAAGGAGGCTTTCAAAAAGACTCTAAACCTGTTGATAGCATGGCAGTCATTGGACGTTTAGAGGTGGACTGGTATCCAAATATGTACTTAGATGGCACAAAATGTTGGAAGTTAGGAAGAGCACTAAGAAGATACTACCATATTAACACAGCATGTCTGTGCACACGTCGTCCCTGGTTCCATACAGGCCACTTGCAAGGTCTGTTGAGGAGGAATGAGGGAGGCCTCTCTCTAACGGAAGAGCTTATCGCTTTCGTTAAGCAGTGCTTTCCCAGAATTGAAATTGTGTAAATGGCAGACTGACTAAGGCATTGCTATATTTTCTTTCTACCCTTTTAATGAATGACCGAGATCTCAGCCATGTACATGTTAACCTATAATTTGACGAATCATTTGCTGTTTATTATTTAGTTTCACGGCCGTTAAAAATAGATAAGTTAATAATTAAAAATAAACAAAAGATGAAATAAAAAAAGTCGATTAAAAGCAAATGAAGCCGGGGGTTCGATTGTTCCTCGAGGATCTCCGGGTAACTTCGGAGACCCTCGGAGAGTTTTCGGTTAATCCTTGGAGTATATATTCGGAGCTCGTACACTCTTCGGAAAAATCTTGAAAAAAGAAAAAATAGGAATTGAAAAAACAAGCCTTCAAAAATTCAGGGCTCTCTGGGTAACTTCGGAAACCATCGACTAATCTTTGTGTTAATCATCGGAGTATATTCGGAGCTCGTACACTCTTCGGAAAATCATCGGAGACGTTTTGAATTAAAAAAACAGACGTTGAAATATTCCGGCGGAATTCCGGATTCCGGATTTTCCAGACTACCTCCTGATAATGTTGACAAAAACTATCTCGATTCTTATTGGTCGATCTTGGCTTACGACATCCGCCGGAAGTACAAAGTAGCGCCTTTGGGGCCCCGACAGGCAATACAGTTTTTCATATTTTTAATATTTTTTTACCTCGGGTAGGGTGGCTGGGTCCGAAATTCGATAACCGAAACGTGAAATGTCGACTTTGTCTGAAGACGAATTGTCCCAGAAATCATCTGAAACTTTTGTGGGTAGTTTTGCGCCGGCAAACGATGGATTTTTCCCATGCGAATAAAGATAAATCCAGAACGGTACGGACTCCCGATGTGGCTTTTGTGGTCGCATCGCTTTATCGCCTTCGAATTGTATTTTTGCTTGTCGTAAGGGATTTTCGTTTTTTGTAAGAAATGATCGAGTGATATATAAAAATTGTTTTCGGCAATGGCTGATTGTGTATCAAGGAGGATATTGGGAGTTTGTGAAAGCCATTTCTAAGCCATTGATGTGTTCGCCCCGATGCATTTGGTCAATGATCTCATTAACCGCTTTCCTTCGTGTTTTTTACTATCGGTGCTTTGAGAGGTTTGAAGTGAACTCTGTTGTTAAGTTGCACTTTGGCTTCTTTTGTTTTTTTCTGTCTTCTTCATGATGACTATTGTTGTGTTGCTTCGGTGAGGTTTAAAGCAGAGGTTGCTTCAACTCTTTAGAGCCGTGACCTCATTCCGTTACAAAGTACTTTTTGGCTTAGATACAGTCTGCAAGTTGCGTTATGACAATTTTCCAAGTAGTTCTGAAGGGCGATAGAAGACTGAACTGGTGGCATTCAGTTTGATATGAAACAAAAGTTGTTCTTTGTTTTGTCAGTGAAAGGTGTAGGGGAGGCGCATTCGCCTTGCGAATAAATCTCGCAAAAGTTGGCCTGATTTCACATTCGTTTGTCACGGGTGTTGGGATGAATTTGAGACCCTTTGATAGCACGCTGACTTGGCTATCAGATGGTTGATAGTTTGAAAGGTTTTTATAGAAATTTTCATTTTCTCGGTTTTTTGGCTGCAAGCCTACATTTTAAAGTGTTTCTAGGCTCTATGTGTCTTAAGCTGTTTGTTCTACCTTCGCTGATATTAAAGCCAGCTTTTTTTTAGAGTCAGAGAACACAACTTATATTTTTCATCTCTTTTGTATAAAAGTGAGCTCTTTGAGGTCAGAAATCTCATTCCTCAACTCGGCTATTTTATCATTCTTATTTACAATGATCACCGATTACTTTCCTTTGCGTAAGGTATTCTGCCAGAGAGATGTCAAAGGTGGATATTGATCAGCGCATATGTAAAGGTGACAAAGCCCGTGGAGGTTCGTAGACTTCACTTTCGTCGAGATCGCACTGAGGACGATTTTTCTTGTCCCTTCTTTTGAAAGGTAGGCACTGAACCCGACAGAATTCTTCGTCAAGATCCTTCAAAGTACACAGATCTCTCGAAACATTCCTCTGAGAAGTGTTCAGAGTAGATCACAAATATTCCTGCAGGACTGAAGTTTACTCGGCGAGTTCGCACAAATCGCATCCGTTTTTCCCGCTCTGATCGATTTTCAAGGCTCCGACCTGCAGCATGGTCTGCACGATTACTTCAGCTTTGAATTACGCATCGATGCCCCGTCATTTTTGTTTAGTTTTAGTAAGAATAGAGTAAAGCACTCTGTTATGTTTGCTTGACATTTTGCCATGTGAAATTTTCGCGTTGAGCCTTTGACGTCACTTCCTCTGAGTCCTGCGATAAACTTCCGGAACATGGTCAAATAATGGCGGGCGCTAAATCGCGAATTTAACGGCCCGAAAAAAGATATTTCTGGTGCTCGGTCTTGACTGAAATTTGGCAGAGTTCGTAAAGGAGACACACTGAACGCGAAAATGAAAAGATGATGTACGAAAATTTTGATCTCAGGGGCACTTTAAGCATATCTGTCACGAAGAAGGCGTAAAACACAAGCCTTGTCTTGTTAAAATATATTGCTTGTATATAGACTTAGTGGAAGTCTTTGGAAAGAATGGGAATGCATTTTACTACAAGACATCTAACGCCAAATTTGGTTTTGAAAAGGTATTAACACTCTAAATAAGATATTGACAGATTTATGTGAGGCAGCAGGGGTAAAACGGAAAACTGTGCATTTCCTACGTGTCGTTTTTTAATGAGTTGCCAGCAAATATAAGGAATTGCACAGATTTTAAAGAATACTGCAGATTCTGCAAGGCGTTCTTAAAGGCGCGCGCTTTGTCTCCCTTGTAAAGACGTAGAAACAACCACCTCCACCAAGAAATATCTTCTAAATATTTACTTTCATATATAGTTCTATTACAATTTAGTTAGTTATCATAATTTAGTATTAAATATTAGTACCGTAGGCCTTCACATATGAAGAGCCACACCTTTTATGTGGATATACTGTGAATAAACCGTTATTATTATTATTATTATTATTATTATTATTATTATTATGTGCTTCGTCTCTTTAACGCTGGGGTAGACGAAAAGCTTATACGTGAGCGAACAAGACATCGTTCCAATGCTTTATTAAAGTATGAGAAACCCAGCAAGAAACATAAAGGAAAGGTATCTTATTTGCTGGGTCCAAATGCTGTGTTAAGTACTTCCAAAGGGGAAACTTGTAATCAAGAGGATGAAAAGCGACCAAGTTCTTTATCTAATGCTGCGTTCCACGAGGGAACTTTCCACAATTGTAATTTTCACGTTGTGAATAACTTTTCGAAGTACGATAGTGAATAATTGATTGTTTGGTTATTGAGGTTGCCAATTAAAATTGAAGCGTCTTGATCAGTGTTTTCATCAGTTTTTGAACTAACCGGAGTAATCTTCATCTAGATTTTCATTGGGTATCAAGATACATGCACCTGAATGTTATTTCACATGCTCTGACATAAAGAGTCACCTTAACTTTAGAAAAAAGAGGATTTAGGAAAAATAGCTTTCATTCCTTCGAGCTTCATGCAATATGTCGCAAGTTTGCTTCCCTGGGGGTGGGGGTGGGGGTGGGTGGTGTTTTGCAAAATCATACCGAACCTCAAACTTGCAGGCTGCACGTGCAAGCGAGGGAACGCGAGGAAACAAAACAAAACTAAACTAAACAGAGTCTCACTCTACAAGAATCTATCGATCGAAAGATTCATTTTTCGTATTTTCCTTGTTAGTTGAGCACATTAGCACTATTGTTTTCATACAGCACGTTTTAGCTTCACAAAGGGCTAGTACGATAGCCACGACATAATTCAATAGAAGAAGGAGCTATCAAGTCCATTTCGACTTGAGTATCTTGATTTAACTTTAAATGAGCCCTTTCAGGCCCCAACCAGCTATATATATTACTCGGCAAAAAAAAATGAATTGGGATGCTAGTGAATTAGATCAACTCACAGAACCATTCAAGGTATGCATTGTTTCAAAGTAAACCAACGATTAAACTTTGTAGATAATCGGCGAATCTGGGCAAGAAAATTGGAACCGAAAGCTCCAGAATTTGAGTTAGCAAGAATTTCTTTCCTGAGTTCTGCTTGCCTTCTGCTCTGGTGTGAAGTTCTATCTGCTGGTAGGTCCGTGCGTTCGTTTAGAGGACCCCTATGCAAGATTGAGATTTAAGTCGAATATTTTAACTAAAAAAGTATATAAACGCCACAGTGTTTCTTTGGTCACTATCACAAGAAGTCTTTATTTCATCTAAACTACAACTAATGGAAAATGTGAAAAAACTTACACGATTGCAGAAAAAAAATCATAACAAGCTCTTTCCTGCGCTTTGTTAGTTAGAGATCGATGCTCCTAGACTAAGTAAAACCCAGACATGCATAGATAATACACGCGTGAGCTAAACTTCAATTCAATAAATGTAATCAATTCACTATTTTAATTCTAATATTGAATTGAGCTTTACAACAATGAATTCTACATTTTATTATACTGAATTGAACATTGCTCCGATCTGGTTGGTTGGTGACTCGTCGGGGTTTGATTGTAATAAGTTGTAAAAGCTATATTTTCGATTCCACAACTAATAATTTGAAAATTTATACTTCTCAACCTTCTTCATGCATTTATGCTGAGAAAGGTAACCCTAAACCCTGTTTAAACTTTTGTTTTGATTGCCACTTTCACCTGTATATTTTTTCAAAACGTAAAGTGTACCGTCTAGGAGCGTCGAAGGAGCGTGTATTGTCCAAGAGCCTCAGTGTTATAGAATGACTCCAGCAACCCCATCTTATGATAGCTTTAAAACCAAGCCAATACCGTAACTAAAAGAATTTCTTCTGACGTGGCCAATTATTCTCCTAATCCTTAATCAGATACAATGGGAAATATATTTGCCATGTACTCATTACATATGTGGATGTTCAGCTACAAATGACTGAAAGGTAGAAAGTATAGCAGTTCAAAACGATGCCATTAGCCTTTTTAAAGTGGTTCTAAATCTTTGTAGAGAATAGATGATTAATCTACACGATTGAGTGTTAGCTTACGTTAGATTCGAACACTTCAAAGTTTGATACATGATAAACGATGCTAATAAATGATGATACCTGACCAATTTACCAAAAGTTTGATGACAAGACCTGAAATTTATCTTTTTTTCGGATTATGGTCATTCAAAACAAAAGAAACATATGCTAGCTACTTTTCTTCTCTTTAGAAAGAGTTACGAGTGAGTGCTATCTATAGTTTACTACAGACTACTCCTGAATTACTGAAGTTTAACCTCGATCTGCTTGATAATATATTTAAAACTCTTCGGTTAACAAACTAGCTGTTATGGAAAAAAACCTCGTATTTGCGACTGATCTGATCCTAAGCAAAGTTTATGGACCACACTTAGTACTAACTAGTTAACAATTTAACTGCAAATACAGCTTCAACCATGCGGTAAAACGCTTTCAAATCGGAATAATCCGTGAATTCTAAGTTGTAATCACGGCGACCCGTGATTACTGACGCAACTTGCTCCAGGTTCCCGCTCTGATGTGCTCCAGCTCTACGCTTTCGCCCGGCAAATTTGAGGGCGCTGGAGACGAGTCGCCCTGGCAGGACCATTCGTAGGTCTAAGAGAAACGATAAAAGCCATTTTAATGTATATAAGGTTGTAATAAGGTATAGTCGTGGAACCAATGGCTTAAGAGAAATTCTATGGGATGGTTACTGCATGTAAAAAATCGAATATACTTGAACAAATGATAAATAAATGCATAAAAAATATGCAGGCGTAACTGTAAAACTCTTTTGGAACTATACAATGTCAAACAATCAAAAGAAATGCCATAAAACCCAATTGATTATTCCGATTACCCTTCAGGTCGATGATCTTCTTAGTTTTCTGGTTCTCCTTCATTTCTCCTTCGTTAGCCTTGGATCTCAGCTCCAGTCTGCCGGCAACTTCCTGGAGATGAAGTTCTCCAAAATGCGGCATTTTTTTACCTGGAATAGAAGAAGGTTTGGGAATCGTCAGATGACAGATAACATCTTCATAATCGACCAAGTTAAACCTTAACCTATGTTTTATCATTGTGTGTTCAACCTTTGAGATATATCTGAAATTTTGGATTGTCACTAAATGTAATTTGATGACAATGCACCAAAGGATACTAAATTACATTAATACTATATATAAAAAATAGTATTACTAGCAGAGAGTTTTGTTAAAGAAAATTACCATTTTTGGAGTGAAGGAACACGCGTACTCCACGGCAAAGTTTTTCCACGGCTCGCCTTTGATTGAAAGTTCTTGTAGGTCTGGCAATTTCAGGGAACATCGAACGATAGGTGAACGAGATGGCTGTTGCTAAGATACCACCTGTAACTTCAGCGTTAGGTAGCTCACTCAAGGAGTAGTGATCCCCAGGACAAACCAGTACGGTAAAACCTCCATCCACCAGTGGACCCCATATTTCCTCTACTGAAGTGGGTGACCATGGCGAAAAGCGCTCGTTTTGACTTTTAAGATAGGTAAGAGGACCGCGATAACGGACCTAGTGGTAGATCCAGAAGATTAATATCATTTTAATTTTTTTGTGTAATTAAGCTTCAAATCAATATCGCGCATAATAAAATATCACAGGTCGAACCTCCTGAGGCTGCCACGCCAGGTGCGTTCTGCCAGATATTCTCTGATTCACCAGTAACGACTCTCTGAGAGCTTTTAAGTCGTAGGTAAAGAGACCTTTCTCATGGCACATACTCTGTAGTTCATCCATAACCTGGTCTTGCGTGCAATTCTCCTGCAAATGCTGATATTCTTGAGCTGTCATCATCAGGGTGTCTAGTGCAACCTTTCTCAGATGGTTCTCAAATTGAAACTAAACAAAGAAACGCATTCGATATTTTAGTATCGGCACCAAGACACTAAGATCATTAAAATGAACAATTAATAAACATGGGTCCAAATCCACAGAGCATTTTTGAATTGGGGAAAACCTAAGGTATAGAATAAATATTATTGGTGAAAAGGATTGACATGCATAACAGTTTGCCTTCCTTTCACTTTTCATTTGTGAAGAAAAAGTTTTAAGTAGTTTTAAACACGCTAGTTATAAAGAAGTTATGAAATGCTTACGTGGCCAATGACCAAATTTCTAACAGAGGCGTAAACGTAGTTTTGTAAGTCTTCAAAACAGAAGTTAATTAGTTTGTTTATTCTCCTTATGACCTCAGCGCAAGTGGGCGGAATAAATGGCACAGACATTTGAGCTTTTCCACAATCTAGTGCTTTCTTGTGTAATTAGGAATTGAGGTTCGCCAACACACCTGTACGTGTCGATGTGAGGCATTTGCATCCTCCTGAACGGTAACCATTCTTGCGCTTATAGTCTGTGTATGCAGATTCCATGGAAATGTATCAATCATGGCCACGAACTCAACGCTTTGATTCCTCTCTGTCAACAAGGAGGCCATTTCGTAAGCAACAATTCCTCCGTATGAATACCCGCCAAGAAAGTACGGTCCATGTGGTTGTTTATTCATGATCAGCTGAACATAATGTGTGGCAAGCTCACGTACTGTACCCCAGTCCTCACTGACTGCTGTTGGGTCGGTGAAGCCCAGAGCGTAAAACGAGACCAGATCCTATAAGGTGAAGAAAAGCATTTCGATCAATAGTCCTTTTTTACAGTTGTTGGCTTGGTGGCCAAGCCTTTGAACAGGAGTGAGGCTAAGGGTGACCTTGTTATGATACAAATGTTACTGCTTTTGAAATGCAAATTTCTTTGTTATAATGCTAACTAGATACTGGTCTCTATCCCAACAATGTCACCCTTAGCCTCACCTCAAATCAAAGGCTTGGCAACTAAGTACACAACTGTAAAATGGTCTATTAGCGGGTGACGCTGTTGTTCCAATGATTGAAAATTTCACCTTACGATGACAAGCGCATTGTGGGGTTTAAGAGGGACGCACTCTATTTTCAGTGGGAATATACAGTCATTATTACAAGTACAACATATATACGACAATGTATATGCTCACTCAATGATTATCGTGATTCGAACGTCGTGTGAAGGTAATAAAGTTACTAGAGAAAAAATTACGTTAAGGAGCATATTTGATGAGATGAATGCGAGCGTTGTTACGCTCTGTGAGAAAAAGCTTCAATTGCCAGAGCTACTTAAGATCACTTATTTAAGATCATTTACCTGTCCTTGAAATCCTGTGGAAATCGGCACCAAATTCATCGCATAACGGTGAGAGGGGTGGACACAGAAAAAGTTTACAGCTGAGGTGGCAGGAGTGTGCAAAGGAACGACCTGGATCTGCTGCTGCGTCACATTACTAAGTGATGATGTGTCCGCCATTGCCTGTGCCGGTTCAATTGCACTTTCTTGACTTTGAGTATCTTGAGGTAGTCCGCTTGGTGTTTGGCCACTGAGCCGTGCTGTGACGTCTCTTGACATTTTGATCAGGGTAGTATCAGGCTGCATGAAATAGAAAACCTGGAAAAAGAATCACGTTAATTAATGTTATTTATTGGTGTCAGAGAAGAAACCTATCGCATATCTCCCCAAAAACTGGATCACACAAATCATACGCGATCTGCAACGGGAATTTCGTTAAACGTAAGATTTAATGAGCAGAACAGGAGCTGTGTACCTGTGTCACCAATTTCCAACTGATTAATGTGTTTATGCTTCGCTGCAAAGAAATTGTTTAAATGACCATCTTCAAACAGTAATTCGCAAGTTTTGTCGAGATGTCGTCTTCTAGAGGTGTAGACATTTTGAAAGAAGCAACGTACCTCAAAAGAGACCTCCAGTTCAGCTTCAAAATGCATTTTTAGAATTAGAGCCCCTGTAGAATCAATGCCATAGCTATACAAGTTCTTGTTGAAATCTGTTTCGGAGAGATTTGTAAGCCCTGTCCGCTCTTGAAGAACCAAAACAAGGTACTCTAAAACAAGTGCCTCTTTCTTCTCAGAGTCCCTCTCCATCATAATCCGTTCCACTAGAGACACAGCTAAATTGGATTGATTCTCAGAAATATTTTGTTCAGCAGTTATAGCTGATAGTCGGGGCGTCTTCCTCAAGCCCTCATAAGTCTTCTGGTATCGGGGCCAGTCCAGTCCACACAGCATAAGTTGGAAGCGGCTCGGTTCCTCAGTGAGGATTCTCGCCATATACTTAACTCCTAGGAAAATAGTTAAGAGATAGGAATGTTTCGTTACCGGCTACATAGGATATTTTCGACATGATCTGTGTTTACTTTAAGACTTCATGCCCTCAATGAATAAATGAACTGGGATTTATTACGATTTCCAACCATGTAGCATCCCTCAGCATGTGAAACATCTTGCAAACCACTCGCGTAAATGGCTACCTCATTTATACCACCAATGTCTGCTTTGGAATTAATCTCTTATCAACCACCTTCAGATCAGCACACTTTTTCTACCAGCCTAGGAGCTCCCTGAAAGCGCTATGTGTAATCACTTCTCGTGGGGTATTACAGTTTATTTATTTAAGAATTTTAGCTCACCATCTTTGGCATGTATGAAGCCTAATCCTCCCATAGTCATCAGCTTAGCAACATGACTATCTCGTGTCATCACTCCAGCTCCAGAAATGGGTCCCCAGTTTATCGCCAATCCCGGTAAACCAAGCACCTTTCTTCGATACTCCGCCAGAGCATCTTGGAAGTGGTTGCTAGCGGCGTATGACGTCTGTCCCATGTTTCCCAAGACTGAAGCAATGGATGAGAACATAACAAAGAAATCCAAATCCATGTCCCGGCTCATTTCGTGCAGTAAGAATGAACCTAGGAGTTAGTTAAAAAATGTTAGCCGAACCATTTAACAAAGTACTGAGAGGCATATTGGCCAATTGTAACATTGATGGAAAGGCTAGTTAAAACTTTCTCAAGAGAAGGGTCCAGTTAGTTGCAGTTACCCCAATGGAAGATTATCATATGGTTGAATGTTACTGAATTGTTAGCATAAACCATAGGGGTAGTAACAGTTATGTAGTAGTATAGTGATAGAAGCAATATTGTGGTGCATTCAGCAATATATCTCACTGTTATTGATCTATAAGGAATTTATAAATAAAACATAAAAAAAATATAGAAGCCATTTCCAAACCTTTAATCTTGGAACCCATGACGATACTGAAACTTTCAAAAGTGAAATCCCTTATGAATTGATCTTTAAGGACCATAGCAGAGTTCACGATGCCAGCCACGCTCGGAAGAGATTTAAGTTGCTCTTTGAGAGACAACATTTGATCCTTGTCAGATATGTCGATCTACAAAAAAGCCACGTAGATTTTTGTTATAATCTACATTTTAGGATTACTTCAACTTTGTTAATTTTTTTTTAATATAAAAGGATCATCAAGGTTGTGCAAGCAACTATACTAGTTTTAAAGAAACAGGCTGAAACAAATCTAGGCCTAGAAAGAATTCCTACGTGTGCCTTCTTGAAATTGATAGGGCCTCTGCTTAATGACATTAATGGAGTAACCTTGAATAAGCATAATGTGAATTATAGCTGAGGTAGTATTCATTTTATTTATTTTAGCTTTCATTCTTCATTTCCTCTTTCTGATTACGTCAAATTCTTCATTATTTTATCACCCTTGCAACCAAAAATTAACTACCTGAAAAATATGGATCTTTGTACTAGTCCTCCTTTCCAACTCTCGGATTTCTTGAAGTTTTTCATTCGAGGGTTTAGAACGGCTGATGAGTCCTATCGACTTTGCTCCATTCTCTGCCATCCAGCGAGCCACTTCAAATCCATACCCTCGGATGCCCCCTGCTACCAAGTACGTTCTGTTTTCTCTTAGGCCACATTCATCTAAACCACGTGGTAGGACAGGAATCTTGTCAAAGGCGCTCTCCTTTTGAGATGATAGAAAGGAATAGAGCAGAAATGATATACCAGTGGATGCGTTCACCTGACTGCTTGAAACTGACGGATTTACGAGGGCTGCGTTTGCTGTTTCGATGGCCTCTCCTACTTCACTAGATACTGACTGCAATCTTAGAAGTTTTCCCAGATTTCCTGTCCTTCCTAGCATCTGAAGACTTTCTGCACTGAGCTTTTGGTAGACCCGAGGAACTCTGAGGACATCTACCACTTCTGTTCTCTCATATGTGACATTGGTTTCTGCATTAAACACAACGTCACCCTGAAACCTGGAACTCAGAATGATAACACGTCCGCCTCTCTTAAGAGAACGACTACTTTTCTGAAGTAAGTTGGGGGAAGGTGGGTAAAAAAATACCACGGCATCAAAATTGTGACTGAAATCGTCATGGAGACCACAGGAACTCTGATGTACTACGCGTTCTGCACCCATCTCAATGAGAGTAGTTTTTGTATCCGAACTACAAGCGTCAGAAATGGTGCAGAATGCCTTGTGCCCTAATGCGTTCGCAATGACAACTGCTGCAGGCCCAGGACCACGGTTAGCTTCATGTATCAGTAACTTCCGACTTCCTTTTTCTGCTTCTGCTGCTCTTTGAAGGGCGTACAAAGCTATAGCTAGACTGCCAGGAATAAATGTGGCTTGTTGTCCTGTTAAACTGGTTGGTTTAACAAACACGTTGCTGATAGGAATGGTAACGGTGCGCGAAACCCGGCCTGAGGACATGATACCACAAACTTCGTCTCCAATCTTCAAAGCGTTTGAGCTCCTTTCCAATAAATCAGTCACCTTTCCAAGAATGAAGACGCTTCCGTTTGGTCTGGAGACATCAATGATAGATTCGGAAGGAGTCCAGCAATGAAGAAGGTTTATTGTAGCTTCAGAGTGCGATGGCTTCGAAAGGCTGCTCTCACGCAGGCAGATCGTCCACGAAGAAGGGTTTCTTGAAAGGTACCAAGAGGTCTTTTCTTTGCTTTTCGCTGCATTGGCTGTGGGTTGTTCCGAGGAAATTTCCGATCTCAGGATGCGATTAACAAAGCGCTTGCCGTCACGAAAGACTATCTCTTCTTCATTGCTTTCACTCACAATTTCATCTATAAGTGAATCTACATCGGGCATGTCCCTTTTGTTGCTGATGTCAACAGCTTTGAGTGTGAAGTTTGGGTCTTCGACGCCTGCTGTGCGTCGAAAACCCCAGATTGTAGAACACCAAGGAAAGGAATTTGTCTCTGGAAACTTTTCTAAGCTATCCAACATCTGTGTACGCTCGGTGACGAGGTAGATTCGACAGTTGTGCCACTTCTTCTCCGTCAGGAGCTTCATTAAGAAAACAGAACTGTGCAGAGCAAGGCTTTGGACGTCATCGATCGCGCTGAAGTCATCTGGTCGATTAGTTGCCTCCACTGGCCACATGTTTATGATGCAAAGGTTTATGGAATTTCCCGGTGGTATGTCAGAAATGGCTGCCGTTATTGCTTCTTCTACCGCGCTGTTAAGACCTCCAGCACTTGGCGGGTCAAGAGTTGTCAGGTTTGCATTAGCTGCCTGAAGTCTTCTTATTAAGGTCTGTGAAAAACTAGAAGACTCTTTCAGCAATAGGCAATGCAGATGTGGTTCCAGCCTTTTCTTCTCTCGTAAATCATCTTGAATCCATTGCACTTCGTACCTAAGCTCCTCGTAAGGATATTCACGTTGCGTGCTCTTTACCCCTGCTAAACGGAAGTCACCCATGGTTAACAAAACTTTTCCACAAGGACTCATCAATCGAACATCAAAACTTCCAAGTTTGGTCTCAATGGCATGGCAATAAAGCTGGTTGGTAGATGGAACGTGGTTAAGGGTAACGCTCTTGAACCCCACAGGCACAATGGATGTATCATCGCCTTCTAATTCTCCTAGGGCAACGAAGCAGGATTGAAGACAGGCATCTAGAATGCAGGGATGTAAGACGTAAGCACTGCTTTCGCTCTGAATGGTTGGCGATTCACTTATGTCAATCAAACAAAATCCTTCGTTGTCTCGATGCCATATCTGTTTGATTAATGAGAATTTGGGACCATAGTTAAAGCCAAACTTTTCTGTTAGTCGTTTAAAGCTCTCCACAGGTATTTGTTCCATATTTACTTTCAGCTCATTTATAGTAGAACCACCTTGCATGGGAACTATAAAACAAAAACAGCGGATCAGTTATCTCATATAAAATGATTTCCATTCGATACGTTTTGTAAAATTTCGTTTGAGAAAAAAGGAAATACAATTTTTTTTCACAGATATTGATAAACTATATATCCCTAGCTGGAATTATTGTAACCAAAGGGTTTCAAATGAACAAAGGTATTATACTCAGCTCGCCCTCTCTTATGGAATGTATTAACATTCCTAATACTGACAAATTCAGAGCTCTTTGATGTACGAAAAACCAACTACGATTGCCTGGTGATGGTGATAAAGAAAAAACAAACAAAGTACGAATATTCAATGATATCATACCTGTATTATCAAAACTGTTGCGACTTTCTAACAGATCTATGGAGATGTTCCCCCGGCTCAAGTTTATTTCAGACTCGTCATCCTGAACACTTGTAATGTGAAATTGAGCCTCATTAATTCTGTTGCTATTTTGAAGCCGAAGCCGTAGACATCGAACCTTAGGAGCGAAGGTAAAATAATAAATGATTAAGTTCAGTTGTAGGTACTTTCCATCTTGCCAAAACAGAATTTGATATGTACGCGCATTGTTCTAATTACCTGTGTTTCGGGGAGGGTAAGAATACTAAAGAGTTTTACATCACTAAGCTCCAGGCCAGCCACGTCTGTGAACTTGTCCTTAACCATTCCAAATGCCATTTCCAAATAGACTGCTCCAGGCATAACGGCACCTCCCTGGATAAAAGAGTGATCCTTGAGTGTTGGAAAGCGATGGAGGTCAATCTCAGTTTCCCAGCAGTGCAAGTGTGAGTTGGGGTCAGCCATTTTCTCTTTGAGAAGAAACGGATGTGACGATTCCTTTGCTGTTTTCTTCGATCCGATAGGAGGGATCGTGGCAAAAGTTGAATGCTCGTCGTACCAGAAGCTTTTCTCTAGCCAGGGATAATTGAGAGAACGAATAAACTCTGCTGATGGATTCTTCTGCACACAAGTCCAATCTATGGAATATCCCATCGTGTACAGTTGACAAACCGTGTTTTGAAGGAAGGATTTTTGTTGATCTTCGACAGGTACCCTTTTTCGAGGAAGTGTTGCCAAAACAACTGGAGTTTCTTGGTCTTTCAGGTTTTCTTGACGAGCAATCTGTTTGACGTAATGGGCTAAAATTGGCTGTGCACTTATCTCTATGATCTGTTTGAAACCACTGCTGAGAATTTGCTTCATGGCTGGATAAAACTGGACTGAAGAGCGAATATTTTGCCACCAATAGTCACTGTTAAACTGCTGGCCCGACAGAACTTCGCCTTTTACCGTAGAGTACATCGGGATTTTCGACAGCTGAGGCTTCAGGTTGATACGTTTTACAGCTGTAAAAAACGGCTCTTTAATCGGTTCCATGTAAATGGTATGAAAAGCGCGTTTAGTACCAAGAATGCGCCAGAAGATATCTCTTGCGTACACTGCCAGATGTTGACCGAGAATTTCAATTGATTGGGATTCTCCAGCCACAGTAACACTGTCCGCATCATTCACTGCGGCTATGTCGAGCTTGTGGCTTAACTGTAAAGACTCCAATAACGCCCTCGCCTTTGCTTCGGACATGCCTAGAGCCGCCATACCACCGTCTTCAGCGCATTTATCTTGAAGGGTGGACCGAGCTAGGACTAATTGAACTGCTTCTTTCACAGTAATGATGCCGGAAATACAGGCAGCTGCAAACTCTCCTAAGCTGTGCCCAATGACGGCAGACGGATGGATTTTCCATGACATTAGCAGTTTTGCAGTCGCATATTGGATGGCAAAAGTTGCCGGCTGAGCGATGTAATTCTCAGAAATTCTTGACTCTCCTTCGGTAGCCATCAACTCATCCATGAGATTCCATGTCGCACCTAGATTCTTAAGTAAATTGTTCACCACCGAGACAGCGTCTCTGAAGGTGGCTTCACACTCAATTAGTTGTCTCCCCATTGCATACCATTGCGATCCTTGACCACCAAACATGAAAACGAATTTTCCGTCGTTGGAACTCGCTTCGGCGTAAGAAACCAGCTTATCCCAACCCACAGATTCATCAGCGAATTGTGACAAAGACTGAGATGCTTCAGCAATGGAGCTGAAGGGAACTGCCAGTCGGTGCGGAAACCGACTACGGCGTTCATTCAAAGAGAAACACAAGTTTGCCACAGTGGTTTCATCCATCTCCTCCACATTATCTTCAATCCATTTAGAGTACTGATGAGCCATCTTCTGTAAAGCGTTTTTAGAACGCGCTGAGAGTGTGAGAACATTACTTCGATAAAAAACACTTTCTTCATGCGACATTTGCTCCGCAGTAATTTCGCGAAGGATTAAATGCACGTTTGATCCACCAAAACCAAACGAGTTTACAGCAGCCACTCGCTGTTTCCCATCCTCTTTTATCCATGGCTCAGTCGTTTGTTGCACAGATAATTTGTTTTCCTCCAGCTTTAGCTTTGGATTTAAGACCTGAACGTTGACGGTTGGTACATACTCCTTGTTTTTTATCATCAGCGCCACCTTGATTATGCCGGCAAGACCGGAAGTAGATTCTGTGTGATTGAGGTTTGACTTGACGGAGCCGATCCGTAATTTTCGCTTTGGTGATGTTATATTTCTGGAATATACATCAGCTATGGAGGTGACCTCAACCACATCTCCGATTGCAGTACCTGTTCCATGCGCCTCCACGTAATCCACATCTTTTGCAGTCAATCCAGACTGTTCTAGGACCATCTTAGACAATTCGGCTTGTACTTTCGCACTTGGGGCAGTAATCGGTACTGCATTTTGTCCATCGTTGTTTACACCACAGGCAATAATTTCGCAGTAGGGATCATCTTTGTCACTCAAGGCTGCATTAGTCAACTTCAAAACAATTGCTGCAAAACCCTCACCGCGGCCATAACCATCGCCAGAGGCATCAAAACTCTTACATCGTCCGTCAGGTGCTAGGAGTCCACCAAGACTTGACCCCATTTGCTTAACGTGACTAAGGACAATGTTGGGTGCGCAGACAATGGCTACCTCGCACTCCTCGTTGTGCAGACTGTCAGAGGCTAGCTTGAGAGCAGTCAATGATGACGAACAAGCCGTATCAACAACAATACTCGGACCTGTTAGGTTAAGGCAAAAGGACACTCTATTGGCAAGAATACTCATTGCGTTACCAACTGCGGTGAATTGGTCTATATTATGGTAGTTTGATGGGCATCCTACAATTTCGGTATAATCCATATTCATCACTCCGACAAAGACACCAGTCCTACATCCCTGCAGGTCTTCAAGTCGCATACCAGCATCTTCGATAGCTTCATAAACCACATGTAAGAGGATTCTTTGCTGAGGATCCATTGCACGAGCTTCTTGATCAGAAATACCAAAGAATTTGTTGTCGAACTGTGTTAAATCCTCTAAGTAGGAGCCATTCACAACGCAGAGGCGTCCACTCACAAAGCGCCTGGGATTGTAGTATTCATAGAACAACCTATGCTGCTCAGTTCTGTTCTTGGGGAACGCTCCGTGGAAACTCTTCCCGTGTTGAAGTAGATCCCAAAACAGATTCTTGTTGCTGGCTCCAGGGAATCTGCAACTGATGCCGACGATCGAAATACCAGGGCGTTTAGACTTGACTTGGCGTTTGTTATCATCCGGTGCACCTGTAGATAGTGGCGCTAGGTCGATTTGTTCCTCAGACATAGGCAAGGTATTCGCGTTACATCGAGAACTCAAAAAATGCACAAATTCGGTCAATAACACAATCATTGCAGGCAAAACAACGAGAGCGTGAATCAGACCAAGAGCAAAAACCAGGGGAAGAAGTCTGTGAAATATGTCTCCCAAACTTGGATAAATGAATCCTAGAGACACGGAGCCACAGCTCATTACTAACCAACTAAAAACCACAGGCCATCCAACGGAACATACGGCCTCGATCACTCGATATCTAATTTCTATCTTTGTTGAAAACACAAATGAATAGGCAACTTGAATGCTAGAATTGAGGGCCACGATACTTGTTGCAAAGACAGGGAGAATAGATATTATATTGAAAGGAATCTCTAACACCACCATGATAGCCGCTGCCTCCAATAATAGGATGTCCATTGTTAGAGCCAGTAGGGTGCTAATCTCCAGGTTGAGAGTTGATAACAGGGAGACTAAGAAAACTACAGCTGTGGCAGTTGCAAAAACAAAGACGCACGCTTCCTGTTTTAACAAAAACAAGTCGTCAAGATCGAAAAATTTCTTGGATACTGCAACGGGTTCCAAATCAAACTGTAATAAGTCTTTTCTCAATGATTCCATAGATTTCTTGTCCTTCTGATATCTGTCATAAAGTGGCATCTTCAGATTAACTCGAGATGCCAAAATTTTAAAAAGGGTTTTTGTACGTTCAAAACGTAAGTCTTGCCGCATCGGAGCGTTACGCGATAGATTCAGGAACTCTTCTAGGCACATGTAGAATGCTGAGTAAGAGCAGGTCTTGTTTTCATACAGCGCCCACTTTCGTAGCGCTGACATCCAACAAGATGATACTCCATCGCTGTAAGAGGAAGTTTCGAGTTTGTCACAAATCTTCACAATTTCATTTTGTACAGTCGGCTTAGAATAGTCAATATTCTTGGAAAAAAGGATACTGATGTCCCCTTTGCTTGTAAAAAACGTATTTTGCGCACTGTGAAACTTCTTGAAGTTGTCATTTCGATAAAGTGACTGGACGTTGCTTGCTTTGTCGAGAAGTTGTAAGGCTGACAAGGCGCACAGACTAAAGATGCAGACAAGGAAAATAACTGCGGCAGTTTTTCCACCAAACGACGTCATTATCCGCGTGAGCGCTTTCAGAATATGCGGTGGTTTAATCATCTGAATTAGGTCCCTATGTTGTTCATAACTGTCAGAATCAGCAATGACTACTGTTGATCTTGTTGCCTTCGACATTTTATGGAGAAATATCAGCAGAATGGCTGTCACCATAAACGTCACGGAAGTGACTGTATTTATGACAAGCATTGCCAGGAAAAAATGTGAAATGACATCAAACGAAGATTTGATTGCAATTGTGGAAAGTAGTGTTCCACATAATGTACACAGCATGGCGGGATATCCTACTTTGGAGACACAAATACCGACCCGATGTTCAAGTGATGTTATAGTTTTCTGCCTTTCCCATTCAAGTAAGAAATGTACAACATCTAAGGTTCCTTTTGCCAAGAAAAAGAAAGGGATAAACAAGGTAGTAGGGAAAAGGGCTATGTGAGCCATTGATAGGACACCTGAAGAACATAAAAGTGGGGCTAAAATAGAATTAGCCATTAGTAAGACTGCTGATGGCCAACGGAGATTCTTAGAAGAAAAGAATATGACAATAGAGACAAGAACAGTCATTGCAAATGGAAAAAAACAAAGTGCCCATAATTCAGGTTTCAACACATTTTGAAGAGCATCAGTTTTTGTCCTCGCAGTGTTGAAGGAGAGTGACACGCACTTCAAGCGATGGCCAATCTGAGAGAGGAGATTCTCAATTGATTTTTCAAAATCAAAAATGTTTTGCTTATCTTTTCCATTAGCTGCAATTTTGATGAAGTAAATGACTCGAAGGGCGTCGGCTCTTGAACTCTGGGGAAATGTCTTTGGCTGTGCTTGAAAATTATCCAGCAGTTCTTTGTAGGAAGAATTGAACGTTTGACCGGTCGAGAGAACCATACTCGGATTTTTCAACTCGCGAACCAGAATGGAAGAAAGGTTTTTTAGCTTTTCCAATTGAAAGTCAGCCAGCTCGAGTGGACTGCTGATGATGCAAGGTTGTTTGGTAAGTTTATGATGCGGATTTGGATTCAACTTCTTTAGGCATAATTCATGGAATCCACTGATGTTCACCACGGTCCAGTGCACGAGAAGAACATCCTTCAAACAATTCCAACTCAAGATGTTGTTACCAAGCCTAGGGGTCATAATGATTTCTTCTTGCCGCGCATCGAGACGAGGAAAGAGTTGTGCCGCATGACGCAAGTCTTTCCTAGATTGGCTGTTGGGTGTGATAAAACTCTCCACTGAGGGTGGGTCCGCACGAAATCGAATGAATCCTAGGCAACTAACGATAACAATTGCGAGAAATCCGAAAAGGAAAAACCCTGGCTTCCGAACTAGAACGAATCCCAGCTTGTTGAAAGTTGCCTGGTAGGTGTGAAGAAGACGATTTGATAGCGTTCTTTGTTCTTTATTGATAGCTTCACGTTCCGATCGAGCCTTTTTTCTGCTTCGCAGAGCCCTATAGGACCTAAACGGGAAAATGCGATTTGTTTCGTAATTAGGAAACATAGAAGCACTACGACATTTAATCTGCTCAATTAACGAAGTGCCACTGTTCTCTATCGAGAATTCAGTGAGGAAAGGTAAGAAGATTAAAAAACACATATAAATATTAACCTCGGGATGATTCTTTGTTTATGTGGGGAAGGTGTACGAGAATCTGTCATTTTCCATATGAAGCCTCTCGCTTTCCAGAGTCAAGTTTAGGTGAGGTAACTATTAAACTCTCAATAAACCTTTATTTTCATCACTTGTCATTATCTCTGTATTTCATACGTCGAGAGGTTTATTTCTTTACAAAAAGGGCAATAACGAAATATTCAATGGTCGTCGTAAAATGGATTTTTTTCACATTTTTGCACATTTCAATCTCAACATTAATGCCGTTGTTTTGCCTCTAGCACGCTTTTTTTTTTCATCACACAGCCAGCGCCATCAAGAGTAAAACGTTAGATTTAAATGAAAGCAATATCAATCCAGTCATGCAAAAAAGCAATGATTAAGTCGATGATCCCTTAAATGATTACCCTTAAAGACATGCCACTAAGTGTGCTATTCTTTCAAATTTTGACGCTTATTCCGAAAACTTAGATGATCAAAGATTTGCAAGAAATGAGCAGGTTCAACAAAATACCATGACACTCTTTTACCGAGAAAAAAAAGTCCTAGGAACGCTTTGGAAAGTAAGCCAACGTTAAAAACCAAAAATAGGCTTTAACGCAGGATCGAAGATCAAAGTTGGAAATAAGTTGCACGACGCATTGATGTAATTCGTTCTTGCTTTCATCGGCTGGAAAAAAACAAGCTATCCTTCTGTTGCGTTATCATTCTGTGGAAAGTTTCTGTTCCAGAACTGGAGAACAGTTTTTGTAGGCCTTTTGGAAATATCCTCCTTTCCCTTTATCGCTCACGCTTTTTTGCTCTCGTGCTCCCCAAGAAGTTTGCTAGTCTAACTCGAGCACCTGCTACACAGGATACACCACTTCCATAAATGGCTGCTGGATTGATATTCTTTTGTTTAAATTCAAATTAGCCTCACTAGCCTCGCTTGAGATAATGTATTCTAATGAATTTTGAACTGGAGAACAAGGCCAGAAAGGCTAATGTAAATTTAAACAAAAGAATATTAATCCAGCAGCCATTTATGAAAGTGGTAAATGAGCCGAATAAAACATGATTCTGTTTCTAATGATCTCACTGATTACTTATTTAGAAAGTGGTAGTCGTAGACCTTATAGCTTTCCCCTCTTCCTTAGCCCTACTGCAGATGAAATGATAACAAATCCTACACTCTGCTATCGTCGAAACTATTGCTCAAAATGTAACGATTCCGCGTTCAAACATTCAAATTGCTTGGCACCTTTTGGACAATAAGCTATGTTTGCCCCGTTGCCAACCCAAGCAAAACATACTCGTGTATTTGCTGGTTGATTTTGTGCCTTTTAGCCAAATAAAGATAATCATCACCACGACTAAGCGAGTCACCAACTCCCGGAATGCTAAGGGATCCTCGAACCAGCGTTCCAAAATACACCGAATGGAATAGACGGGTCAAGGCATATTGAGGCTCAAAAAAGATTTTTTGTGAGGAAACTGCAGAATCTCCAAGAAGTCGACAATAGGATAACAAAGTTCTTAACTATCAAATGACCAAAACAATTTCGAATTAGTTGCAGCAAGCGGACAGTCGGCTTACGACAGAGAGTACAACGACCGCCGGACGATGTTCGTAAATGATGATTTCAACAATAGAGTGTTTCTGTCGAGGAACTTTCGGGTGATAGTTGCCCCGTGGAAATTTAATGTTCTTAAAACAAATATGCTACTTTTAAGAACATCAAATTTCCAAGGGGAAACTATCAAACCGATAGTTCCGAGACATAAACACTCTACTGTCTTTATTGTTCACCACTTAATTTTCTTCCGCGCGCCAGTTTAAAAAAATCAAAACCCACTAAATGCAGATCATGCGTACAGCCTGTCACAAATGTCAAAAATTCACAACCGTGCATTAGCTAAATAATACGTTCTACCTGTCAGAATTGAAAGGTCACTGTTTTTCCGATCTGCCTAACTTCGCGGCCGTCAAACCATTCAAAATTTTTCACGGATGAGTACTATCCATCTGGGTATTTTCCGCGGACGGGCACTATGTGCTGATAGTGTCTCTCCGCGGATGAACACTATCACGTCACGGGATCAATTTAAACCAATAAGAATCGGAGAAAATTTAGTGGTGAACTATAATGCGACAGAGTATCATTACTACAACTGAACGAACCGAGTAAGTAAAACGAACAGAGCATATCTTAAACCGACGAATAAGTGTTTATAATGAACGGAGCAATATTAACTAGCCGAATCATATCATTTTTACAACCGACCAAATAGGTGCGTAGAACATAACAATCACGTTGCGTCATCTGGGTCAAAATTACAATGGAGGCTCTATTTCAGTTTCAGTTTCGATACCTATCTTTCTATCCTCAACGATTTTGGAAACAAGTCTTTCTTTTCAATTAATTTACTTTCTAATAGTAGCCATTGTGCTGCATACTTATTTACGACTAACATCTTTCTCGAAATTTCCTGCTAAAAGTTCATACTAAATGCGCATTTGTTGTGCTGAATGATATGTATACGCGAGGTCCGAATTTTGAATTGTAATTTTCATTTTCTGCATTCTATTACTTACTTAAGGATCCAAAATCGATTATAACTTTTCTTGATGGCGCTTTGTATGCGCTTCTTCGTCGAACGACTTTGGTCTTGACTTTGCTTCTAATGCGATCGAATTTTCTTTCAGCTGATTCACCGGTTAAATTTCCTACGAGTTAAAACTTACCAGATTTTCTGCGAAAAATCACAGTTCAAATTTTCTGCGAAATAAAACTTATCAAATTTCTGCGAATTCTTCACCGATCAAATGGCTAAGTGGTCATATGACGTGGTTTGGGAAAACAATGCAATTAAAACTCTCCCATGATGCACCACCCGCATCAATTGTCACACATCCCACAATATTTTTTTACACCCTAGAGCGTTTTGTTTTTGTACCACTGCGAAATATAATCTACAACTTTAAGCTTTCGTTTCGAAATGGATCCAGATGTGATGCTTGAATGTCCCAACGTCTTCTGGAGATGACGTTTTCTTCCTTTGGAAATGCTTTACTTTAAATCAGTTGCCATCATGATGCATGACATATCCAATAATTTGTGACCTTCTAACATATCTAACTTATTCACTTATCAAGCTAATATTCATCCCCATAAGACAACATCATCTTCAAGAGGCGACTATTTTGTTGAAAGTTCAAGATTAGATATACAAAAAAGGGCATTTCAAGAAATGGTGTTAGAATCTGGAATAGCTTGTCTTGTCAAGTGCGCCAGCTATCAAAATACAATTTTAAGAGTAAAATTCGTGATTTCCTCCTCCAGAGACTCGAAAAATATGACGATCATATTGATTTGTCTACTTTAATAGCACAACTATAAAACCCCAGCTTGTTCTGTTTTCTTGCCGTAACTTAAATGTATTAATGTAGTTGTAATTTGTCTAGAATTTTTAATCGCTTGCTCTGTAATCATTTTATATTATAATATACGTCAAACACTACCCGCCTCGACTAGCCTTTGCTAACTGCGGGCAGAGGATATTTTTTGTAATATTGTGATATATCATTAAACTTTCATTAAACTTTCATTTCATTAAACTTTCATTACGAGATTCTTCGTGTGGCGAAAGGGTGTTGTTACGAACTGCTGCGTATGCCTGTGCCTCTTCACAACTCCTGTGTGTTGTATCTGCTTGGTGTACCAAGACGTCCGTTGTAATATTTTAACTAGAGATCTGAAAAACTTAAGTTTAGGTAATTAACTAACGGCAAAAGTAGCCTGGTCAAGGTCTAGAGTGATTTTAACCTTGTGACAGTGATTTTTCCGCCAAACTTCCTGTATCTCGTTAACCGGCGAAATTTTAACTGTGTTAAAGAAAGGCCGAACAAAGTGTATTCTCACTCCTCCATTAATCAGTTTTTTAGGTCAATTCGGTTGAAAGCTAGCTTTTGAACAAGCTCCGACTAGAAGGGCCAAGTAAAAACTAGCTTGAGGTGGATCGGCCGGCGGAGAAGGTTTACGAAAAAATAGAAGAGTATTCCTCGCGCTCCGCATGGGAACTTTACATCGCGCGCCACAGAACTGCGACTATTGTTATATAAGCCATACTCTTCTTGAAAGACAAGAATATCGACTGCTAAACTTTTGCGATTCGGATCTCTAGTACAGACGAATTAAACGGCCCGAAGGGGCATTGCATTATCCTTTCCGGAAATGTTCCTACGCAAATGAAATCAGAGTCATTTCTGCCATATGTACAATTTTTACATGGCTAAGAGCCGAAGCGTTATTTTATTTCAAAAGAGGGGAGGAAGTTTTCCCTGGGTATGAGGCAAATTAAGTAAGGAAAACAAAACAAAAAACAGCCATAATTGTTTACGTACCGGCCTCCCGAATGGCTCGAATCGCTGTCCAAATCAGCTTCTAACTCTAGCTCCTCCATAATCGGATGTTAGTCCTTGAGGCTAACTTAGAATGTCCAGAGGTGTTTCAGCAAAGACACTCTCCACACGAATGACACGAAAACCCTAGCGCGACGCTACTTTATAATTGGATGGGACAGTGGTACGCGGTGCATTGTTTGCCTGTTTCGTCACTCAAGGAACAAAATATTTCATGGAATTATCTTTCACACCCATCCGCTTCAGATTGTAACGCAAAATCTTTATGCTTTTGCAGTTTAAGTTTTGAAACCCGATTGTGCAAACAATTAAGAACTTCCGTGAACAAATATTTTTTTCGTTAACGTTATCCTCGAGGAATGCTTAGATCATTTTTGTCCAGGCTATAAAGGTTCTCTATTTCTTTTAAAACTGCTTTAAAATCCTTTACTCCTTTTCTCTTTAATATTTCTACTTTCGTGAGCGATCGATAAATTCGTGTACACAGAAACCTAAAGCATGCATTACGGTTCCTTACATTTCTTTCACGTGTCTCTTCGCTTGAAGGCGCAGTCTGCACGCTTCACGCTCGGTATGATGTAAGCTCACGTTCCTAAGGAAGCTAACTTGTTTAAGTACCATTTCAAGGTAACTCTTATTCTGGTTAGTGGGGTTAGCTCTCATTAAGGTTCCTTCCTTTTTTCACGTGTATTCTTACTTACACGTGCCGTCTGCACGCTTCACGCTCGGTATGATGTTACCCACGTTCTCAAGTTACTAACCTGTTTATATATCATTTCAAAGAAACTCTAATTAGAGTTAGCTTTTATTAAGGTTCCTTAATTCCTTTCACGTGTACCCTTGCTTACACGTGCACTCTGCACGCTTTACGCTTAGTATGATTTGTTTGCTTTCTTAGGGTGATCAACTTATTTTTGTGTCATTTCGAAGAAACTCTTAAGAATTATGGAAATTTTCCATTAATCTTCCCTTGCCTAAGTTGAGGTGATTCCATGTCAAGGGCATATGATATAATAATAAATGCAAATGCACAAATTACAGCTTGCTCAGACCACCTTTAAAAGCTCGCTCAGGTCTTAACTTTGCCCAACAAAATTTGCCTATAATTGAACTGTTCTTAGTCGAGAAAACAAAGCATAAGTTTATCTCTTTCACCGAGTGATAATGTTCTTTTCCTAGAAACGAGTTCCCGTGATACTATTTTTGTTATTAAACCTATTCTGATGACGCTCGTGCTTTTCCACACAATGGTAGAAAGTGAAAGAACTTCCTGTTACACTTGACTGTCATGAGTAAGCCACTGAGTACTTAGCCTTCACAAAAAACGAAACCTCGTTAAGGGAGGAACATTCCAAGCGTTAGTAAAATAATCCCAGATTAGTGTGACTACCATATCTTCCCCCTTTCACTTCCGTCTTTGATCTGAAAAATTTATTAAAGGCCCTATTGTCCATTTATTGCGGAGCGCCAGGAATACTCTTCTATTTTTGCGTAAACCTCCGCCGGCCGATCCACCCCAAGCATTTAATCTCATAACAATTCGCGTGAATCGCGATTCTGGATTTTGTTTGTTTGTTAATTGCAATTTTAATCGCAAGTTCTCTCTCTACCGGCGGCCGGTGAAAGGTGATCAACGCTTAGAATCGTTTGCAATATGGCTAGTAATCTTACTTCCATCTAAGTACATTTCGCTTGAAATGTGATTCCGGATTCTGTTCAGTTGTCAATTATATTGTGATCTTAATCGACAAAGATTTCTCTACCGGCCGGTGAAAGGTGATCAACGCTTTGAATCGTTTGAAACATGACCGGTGATATAATCAATCAATCAATCAATCAAAGTTTAATGTCTTTACGTAGGACATGGTCACCCATATTGCCCGAGCCAGAGGCTCATGTATGAGACGCAAGACTTCACCCCACCC